CAGCACCCACATGGTGGCTACAAACCGTCCTTAACTCCAGTTCCAGGGGAATCTGAAGCCCTCTTCTGACATCCGCGGCATTGCATGACACGGGTGCACTCACATACACGCAGACAATACACTCATACACATAAAAAATAATAAATAAAATATTTTTTAAAAAAGAATTCAAATAACAGATTAAGGAAAATGTCTATGAGCTAGAGTGTCAGCTGCATCTGTAATACCAGTAGTTGGAAAGCTGAGGCAGGAAGATCACAAATTTAAAGCCAGTTTGAGCATGGAAGAGCTACTGCTTTCTTGCAGGAGAGCAGTGATAGCATTGATCCTTATTTAATTTTATTCTATTCTGTTTTATTTTGTTAACATGTATTTCATTTGGCGCAGGAGCGCTGGCTCAGCAGTTAAGAGTTCTGGTTGCTCTTGCAAAGGACCCAGGTTTGGTTCCCAGTACCCACATGGCAGCTAATAACAGTCTAACTCCAGTTCCAGGGAATCTGGCACCCTCTTCTGGCCCACGTGAGCATTGCACACACAGGTGCACTTACATGCATTCAGCCTAAACACTTATTTACATAAAATAAATAATTTTTAAGGTTTATTTTTATTTATGTGTATGGCTGGGGGGTATGTGCATGTGAGTGCAAGTGTCCTTAGAGGTCAGAAGAGGACATTGGATCCCCTGGAATTGGAATTACAGATAGTTGTGAGCTGCCCATGTGGGTGCTGGGAAGTAAACTTTGGTTCTCGAGAACAACAGCAAGCACTCTTAACTGCTGGGCCACCTCTCCAACTCCTGTAACCCCTATTTTAGGAAGGTACTCTGGCATCAGTGAGAAAGGTGATCAGGTACCAATATTTGGAAGCATAAGAGGTCACTCCAGCAGATAATGGATAAAAAAAGAACATAAGCTCATTATTGTGATCAAAAACATTTGGTGGTAGATTTGCCATTTTGTGACTATTCTGAAATGTATAATTTCTCTGTATTATAACATCTGAAATGTGCTTGTATCTCTCCATAATTACATCTTAAAATTGTAACTGGCAGTATTTTTTCCTCCTTTTCTTGATGGTACATAAAATATTGTTATTTAAAATTATTTGGAGTCAGGTATGAAGGCGCACACCTTTGATCCCAGAACTCCCAGGCAAAGGCAAGAGGATCTGTGAGTTTGAAGCCAAGGCTACACAGTGAGAAACTATCCAAAACAAATATAAAGAATCTATGGCCTATTGTAGTTGATATCAATATTTGGTGACAGATTAGATTATGAACATTAGTAAAGTGGGTGAGTCAGAGATCTCTGTTTTAACCTAAGTAGAAAGGTGGTGATATAGTTACTTTACAGAGGAGGGAGGGAGTACAGGAAGAAGAATGAATGTGTGTAGAGGAGGCCACTTTTGACTTTTGGAGAGGTTGTGGTTGTGAAAGTGCAGTGTAGGAGTCTGCTCTGCATTTGGTTCCTAAGTTATAATAATGCTTTTGTCCTCACCCCCCATGTATGTGTTCAGAGGAAATTCTTATGTGAGTTTGTGATAGCATCTTTTATTTAATTTTAAGTAGCACAGAACAAAATGTTAGGTTAAGCCACAGATTTCAGAAACAAACTGATACCTACAGTAACCAAAAGGTTTACCCAAGGTCAAAACGTGGGCTACTAGGACTGGGCTCCAGGTTTGTCTGTGAAGCTTAAGCTCTGCCTCTTACTAAGGTCTGTTGCAAAGAGGAACTTCAGAATTGTCAGCACAGAACAAACATTAACCCCTGTGTGGCACACAAGATCAAAGGAAGAAAATAGAATCTATTAGATAATATGGCCAGGACAAAATGTTAGAAAAAGAACTTTCTCCATCCCTAATATCTAGAGCAATTGCAACTGTTCTCTGGTTCTGCTTTCATGTACTCACTCTCCAGTCTCACTGAGACCTGTCTGTTACTGGTATGTTGCTTTTCATTGTCATTCTTACCACTTAAATACTAATTCCCTTACTGTTCATGATCATTTATTATCAGTTCTTTCTCTCTCCTGTTCTCCTGGGCAAAGCCCCAGCTGTGGATAAGCCAAACTACCTTATCTATTTTCTGCCTGAACCTGAACAATATACACCATGTTAATTGAGCTTACTTTGCATTCAAAGCCACAGACCTCAAATAGGAATGCAACTATGTGGAGTAGTCCTACACATACCCCTAGTAAACTTGCTTTGTTACTTTTCAAATAGCTACTTCATTTTCCTTTTCTCAAATCCACATACTTCTGCCCTTCTTTCCCACTTTTTGCTGATAACCTCACTTCATATTGAAAGACTAAATATAAGTTCCAACTGGGATCGTTGGAACTTGAATCCCTTTGCCCTCCCCATCCATAGATCTCACACACCCTGCTTTCCCTTTACTTGGGAAGAAAGCTGGACTTCACTCCTTTGTGAGACAAAACCTTCCATTGTATTTTGGATCCTATTCCCCCATGGCTTCTTGGGAATTTTGCTGTCTCTGGCTGTGATAGAACTAGTCAGTAGTATCGCTAGTCCGTAGTACCCAGTCTTCTACTGTGTTGTTCTCTCTGATATTACTGTGATCTAATCTGTATGCTCTCTCCTTTATATCAAAGACTTGTGTGTATTCTCTGACTTCACTTCCTCTTTCATTGTCAACCTCCTATCAGATTTTCAACCCATCCTTGCTGAAGAAGTGCTTTTCAATGGTAGATCATAGTTGACTCCATGCAGTGAAACCCATCTCAACCCACACCTCAATTCTCTTCAATATTTTACTTACTTAGCCACTGCCTCATTCTTGAAAAGCTTTGTTCTTTTTTCTCTTAGGATGCTTGCCGTAGTCGTCCTGTGGCATCACGTGCCCTCTTTTTCCTTTTCTAGATGTTCCTCTTGGACTTACTGCAATGCTCTTTTCTTCCAACCATTTTCCCCATACTGGGCATCTGTCTTTATCTTCCATGTCAGTGACTCTTAAAACCTTCCTTGTTAGACTGTCCCATTAAAAAATGAGTTTGGCTAGGCATCGTGGCACATGTAAGACTAGCCTGGGCTACATAGTGAGTTCCAGGCCAGCTCTGGCTATAGGGAGACCCTGTCTCAAAAACAACAACAACAACAAAAGTAAGTTTGGCATAACAACTTTCACATAACCAAAACAAAATCCTTGGCTTTCACCACTAATGAAACCTGCTCCTCCTGCTATTAGCTGTAGTAAATAATGTACTAACCTGTGAGTTCTCTAAACCTTCTTCTAGGTTAGGAAGTTATTTAACCTTGTGTGCACAAACACATAGAAATACTGGTTGCTTTTAAATTTGTTTCTTACAAGGTGGATTATCCTAAATTCCTTTGTGTATGTGTGTATGATTTTATGTCTTAAACACTGGCTTTCATAAATTTTCAGATGAGTTTATGATTTATAAAAATAATTAAGTTACCATTATAAAAAAATTACTAGCCAAAGGGACATAACTCATTATTAGCTGAGCCTCTTAACTTAGGGGCATAAGTGTTCTGGACACCTTCAGTTGTCCCCTTGACACGCCTGGAAGAGGGAAGCTCTAATGAGGAATTGTGGCTATCAGATTGGCCTCTGGCCATGTCTCTGAGGCTTTTTCTTAATTGGTAGTTGATGTAGGAGGGCCTAGCCACTGTGGGTGCTTCTGTCCCTGGGTAGGTGGGCCTGGGCTGTATAAGAAAAGTATCTGAGCAAGCCAGGGAAAGCAAGCCAGTAAACTGTATTCCTCCATGGTCTCTGCTTCAGTTCCTGCCTCCAGATTCCTGCCTTGAGTTCCTGCCCTGACTTCTTCAGTGATAGACTGTCACTTGAAAGAGTAAGATAAAGTAAACTCTTTCTTCTCCAAGTTGGTTTTGGTCAGTAATGCTTAAATGGGTAGTTGCTGATAGTTTGTGATGTAGTAGAATGCCCAGAAGAAAGAATTCAGGCAACAGATGGATGATTGGGTCAGTGGTCTTTATAATCCCGCTATTCTATAATTCCAAAATAAAATAGGTTGAGAAAAAAAGGTCCCAGTCTTAGGGAATAGAAAACATTTTATTTTTTGATTTAAATATATTTAAATACATAATAAGCATTTCATAATATGTCAGCATTTCAGTCAGCATTTTTATCCTGTGAGAAACAGGGTTGTCAAGAGAAACAGCATTTTAAATTCCTAAGCATTCTTTCCTCAGCCCCCACTTTAGAGGAACAATTTGTTTGCTCTAAACCAAACTATATTGTGAATCTAGTTATGACTATTGCCCTGTACTAAAAGTGTTTCTTTTTTCAAAGGTACGTCAGCCTCTTGTATGCACCAACAACCATGTGTTTTGTTCTGTTTGTATTGACTTGTGGTTGAAGAATAATAGCCAGTGTCCAGCTTGTAGAGTCCCCATCACTCCTGAAAATCCTTGCAAAGAGATTATCGGTAAGGGTTTATTTTATATAGATTTGTGAGAGTGTGCAAATGTTTATTTTGGGGAGACTGAAATGCAGTTTTTAGTGTTACAAACCAACATCATAATGAATGAAATCATAAATTTGTATATAGTGCAAAGAACTATGAAAGATACTCAAATAACCCTTAGAGCAACATGCCACCTACATTCCAATGGAGAGTCTGCATGAGAACAGAAATAATGACTTAAAGTCACAGGTGCTAAAGGAAAAGGATAAAAGGGGGGTTAGAATTCCAGAAAGAAGGTAGGAGCTCTGAGAAAAACGATGAGGCAGGTAGCTTTTGAAGGTGGATATTTCAAGATGATTTACATTTCAACTAGTGAAAAGCAGGAAGGACAGTCCATAAAGTGAGAATAGCACGAACAGGATATAGAAAGAAGAAGACACAAGAGTTTTTAGAAATGAGAAGTTGTCTAGTTTGGATCTGACTACTGAAATAAGACTGAAAAGTAAATTTAAGACTTTTGTATCAAGCATCTTGAATGACAACTAAATCCAGAATGTGCACTGTGGATGGGGAGAATGGTGGGGAAAGGTGTGTGTGTGTGTGTGTGTGTGTGTGTGTTAGAGACAGAAAGACACAGGGAGAGACAGAAAGACTCTCCCTCTATAAGTCAGGCTGGTCTGAAACTCACTGTGTAACTCAGGATGACCTTGTGGCAGTTCTGTCCCAGCCTCCTAGGTACTGGGACTGCAGGTTTGTGCCACCACACCTCATGGTGTGCATAATGGTTTCAAGTAGTGGTGTGCCCCAATGTGTACTTTAAGAATGTTGCTTGGGTGGTTGGACTGTAGGAGATAGACAAAATTTGGATAAATCAGATAGGAGGGCCTTGCCTGGTTAGAGATAGAGTGAATCTGGATTAAAGGTCTAACATATTCAAAGAGGCTTTTAGTGTTTTATTTTTATTCTCCTTGTGTACAGTATTTTAAGATTTAAATTTTTGTTTTTCTTTAAGAAACATTAAAAGTGAATCTGTAATAATTAGCTATACATAGACAACATTGTTCAGAAAATTTAAGAAGTTGTAGTGGTTCAAAATGAGGGGAAATTGTCTTAAATAAGAGTTTCGTAATGGAAAAGGAACGGAAGATACATGAGAGAGAGCAGAAGAGCTGTTCAGACTTTGGACTCAAATTTTGGCTCCAAAGTTTCTGTTATGGCTAACAGGTTGCGTCTGGTAGAGTGCTAATGCTGTACTGTGTCATCTTCTACAGAGCTAAACGCTACACTTAAACCCACTGAGCTTCAGGGAGTAGTTCTTTTTGCAAAATATGAGCATCGATAGTTAAAATAATTTGAATGTCTTTTCCCTTAGCTTCTCTCTTACCTGCATTCATATCTAAATGATATTTTATAAACTTTCTTAATAAAATAGTTTATCCATCTTTGCATTTGGATAGAATGTCCTGAAAGAGAACATCCATAAAATATATTTCCTGTCACGATATTATATACAAAGAAGATAACCCTGGTATTATTGTAAAGCTCACAGAAAGAATTCATATTGGATGTATTTCTAACAGGTTTTGGTAGACATTTAATGCTGGGACTCAGTCCATTGAAAATAGGTTGTTAGAATTGGTGAAGATTAAAATTGATTTTTTTTTCTTTTATGTTATCAATAACCAGACTTGTTTGACTATCTTGGTTGTAATTATTATAATAAGTGGTATATATTTTGTATAAATATAGTGATTGGTTTTATTATGTAACCATTGTTTTCAGATTTGTAATAGTCAAAATTGCTAAGTAATTGCATATAGCCCTTTCTTCCATTGACTTGACTACAATAAGATGTATAGGTAAGTAAATACAAAATGCTGTTTTACTGAGATATTTTTTATGATGTTAGTAGATATTTTTCTTCTCAGAGTGGAAGTAAAGAAAAGGCCTAGATAGTAGCTCCAGGGGTATATGTAAAGGGAAGACATTGCGACATTGCCGGTTATAAAACAGCAAAATAAAGGTTCGTTTTTATCCAAATCAGAACAAAACTTACGAATTTTTTTTCCCCTGTAGGAGGAACAAGTGAAAGTGAACCTATGCTAAGCCACACAGTTAGGAAGCACCTTCGGAAAACAAGACTTGAGTTACTCCATAAAGAATATGAGGTAAACAGTAATTAAAGTTTAAATGATTTCAGCAGTGAACTCAGGCAAAAACTGAGCGACCTCAGTCCCTAGACTTTTTAGATTATACATCTGATGAAATCTTGTTTTTTTGTTTGTTTGTTTGTTTGTTTTTCTCTATTTTTGAGTGTCTTGTGGTCCTATTGCCCCTATCCCAAGTGCTGAGATTCCACATTCACCCCCATGCCCAACCTGAAAACCTTATTTTGAATGCCGGTCTAAAAATCCCTAGATAAGAACAAACTTTCTTTTCTATTTTAAATCGAAAAAATTATTCTGTTTAAATAAAAAGGAAGGGAGAGTAGGATTTCCTAGAAAAGGAAGAAACGGACACATTTTGTTTTTTTTTCCCTCCTTCTCTGTTTGAATGTGTGTGTATGTGTTTAATATTTGAACCTATACAGATAAGTCATTTTAGGTCATTTTATATTTGCTCCTTTAAAAAACTGAGAGATAAAAGAAATCCTCTTATAGAACTCAGTTAATTTGTTTCTGCCTACAGATTCACTGATGACTATAAGCCTGGCCAGTTCTGGTACAGTAAATAACTAACTATGTCATCTATCAACCCAAGGATTTTAGTGTGAGATACACTATTTCTCATTTTTGTCTACAGGTGAATCAGCAGACTCATTACCATGAGGGTGGAGTTTTTCCAAACAAATTCATGCTGATGGGATAAATACATATCCAAAAAAGGATATATGTATACTATTGATTTGGTTTGATACAAAATATTTTTTAAGTTAAACTGTACACATGGAAGCTACCTCAACTGCCTCAGTTTTTTGGATGCAGTGGAGCATAAGTACCTGATGAAATAAATGTTCATGCATATGTGTATTTTCCACATTTGTGAATATAAAAATGCATGGATTTTTTAAATTCATTAATGTATTAATTTAAGCAAAGCAGCTTCTTTCAGAATGCTGTAAATGTATTATATTTACGATAATATACATACTATGGTATCTCTAAAATGTATTCTTACATAATTAATATTTGTCATGGTTAGATGCTAATCAGATTAACCTTTAAGAGGTCACAGACTTAAGTCTGTTTTCTACTGCTGTAATTCAGAACACTTTAAAGTGGGGAATTCATACAACAGAAGTGGTTAGGCTCGTGCTTCTTGGAGTCTAAATTCCTAGGAGCATGATGCTTGCTAGCATCTAGCAAGGGTGTTCATGCTGTGTTATCAACTCTATGCAAACAAAAGATAAAGAGATGGCAAGAGTGGAAAGGGTACTGGAACTCAAACTGTTTGATCAGGAACTCACTCTCGTGCTAACTAAACCGTACCTAAGATATCTACATTAGCCATTTCATGAGGGCCTCATGACCTAATCACTTGATGCTTCCCTCCCTTAATACTGCACAGTGGCAGTTAAATCTCAACATGAGACCAAGGCACATTCAAACTATCACTGGCATTTGGGAATTTTTTTTTTCTTAATGTGTTTGAGTGTATTGCCTGCATGTGGGGAAGTGCACCCGTGTCGTGCAGTGCACCCCACCCACCCCCCGTGGATGTCAGAAGAGGCTGTCAGATCCCCTGGGAACTGGAGCTATGGACAGTTGTTAGCTGCCATATGGGTGCTGCGATTTGAACCTGGGTCTTCTGCAAGAATAGTCAGTGTTCTTATCCATTGAGCCATCTCTCCAGCCCCCTTCTGATAGAATTTTTAACAGCCTCAGCTTAAGATGTCATATTTAAGTGACATTACAAAAAAGGGTTCTATCCCAAATGTTTAGCAGTTGCATTTAATATAAACAGTTCCAGAACAGAAAAATAGATATTTGGAGTAGCTATAGTATTGGCTGGTAAACCAAAATTCAGACAAGTTAGAAATTAACTACTGTTAACTGGAAAGAAAAATAGAAGGATTTCACATTGACCTTAGAAAGAAAAATATAAACATCAAACAAAGTTTTAGTTGATCACTCTGCTTTTAAATTTTCTCTCTATAGAGCAGTTAATGTGCTTCAAATTCCTTCAGAAGTGGAATCTACTTCCTTGTTGGAATTTGTCTTTTCTTATTTTCTGGATGATAATGTAAACAATTCAGGAATTAACATTTAAACTTTTAAAACCACAAATATCTTTGAATTAGAATGTAAGCAGGATAGTGCCAATTTTTATTAGAGTCAGAATACAGTTTGAGACTAAGTTATAGCTTTCTCCTTACAAAACTATTAATATCTATAGGAGATCTATAGATCTACAAAACTTTGAGTATATGATTCAAAAGCACATTGACTTTGGTTTAACATACTTAAACCTTTCATTTCTATGTTTGATTATTGACTATTCAATACTTTTTCAGGATGAAATAGAGTGTTTGCAAAAAGAGGTAGAAGAACTTAAAAGTAAAAATCTCAGTTTGGAGTCACAGATCAAGAGTATTCTGGATCCTTTAACCTTGATGCAGGGCAACCACAATGAAGACAAACTTCCATTGGCAGATAATCCAAGTAAAATTGACCTGGAAACTGTAGCAGAGTGGAAGAAAAAACTCAGAACAGCTAATGAAATCTATGAAAAAGTCAAAGATGATGTGGATAAGTTAAAAGAGGTAAATTGTAGTGGCTTTGGAAAAAAATGTATTAATGGTTGTTTGTAAAGTTCACCGAATGTTTTAAGCACTACAAAAGTATAAATAGCCATATACCTTAACTCATCATTGGGTGATTTTTGAGAGAAGTACAAGATCTCTGGATGAGCATTTATATGTAGTAGGAAACCTTACTCTTATTAGATATCTTGAGCGGCCAAGAAATATCAGGTGGTTCCATTTGTGACTATAATTGGGGACTCTGTAGTGCTTCCATATGAGACTGCTCTTCTAGAAGGGCTCTATCAGTTTAAACGATGTGCTTCTATTTTCCCCTCTTTGTAGTTTGCCTTAATTTTTTAAGCTTATAGCAGTGACTGCTTTATGTGCATTAAAACAAACATTCTTGTTTCCCTACATAGAAAAGAAAACATTTTTGTTTGCTTGGTTTTTTTTTTTTTTTTTGAGGCAAGGTCTCATCATATAGTCTAGGCTCATTCGAAACTTGCTGTGTAGCCCAGACAGGCCTCAAACTAACCATCCTCCTGCCTCAGACTCTCTAGTGCTAGGATTATAGGTATGTACACTGTACTCAGCTGCAGAAAAGGTTCTGACAGTATCTGTTCTGGCATTACCATTCTCTGATTGCGAAGGGTGTAAATAGTTAAAAGTATAATGACTAATTTTAAGAAAGCTATGAGCATCTGCTCTAGACTGCTTATGCAAAAGAATATTATGGCTTGTGAAGCTGGTTCATTTTTTTTCTATTTGTCTACCTGTCCCACAAGATAAAGAGAAAATTATGTGGAAACAAAAGCAGACTTCTAGTTTTGTAGTCTAGCAAGGAGATAAGATCCGTGCATCAGCACTAGAGCAGTACTGGTCAGATTTCTGTAATTGTTTTCTGGAACAAAGACCAGCCTTTAGCTTGACATCAGGATTATCTGCCCTGGAATCCAGTTGTGCTGCATTCATGATTTTATAGCACCCAGTTCTACAACTGTCCTTTCAAACCCCCTGCATTTCCTTACACTACTGTTCTGAACTACTGCATCCTGACCTGTGAAATCACTGATGGACTCCATATGATAGTTTAAAGAAGGACCACTGTGTACATTAGCTCTCAGTTCTTCAGTGAAGTTAAGTGGCAGAGAAGCATCTTCAACTCTGTATAAACCGTTTTCTGCATACATAAATGCCTTAGGGACTCAGAAAAGGCCAATATGAAAGGAAGATGGAAACTGCTTTCAGAGAAAAGAAGCTACAGGTGTATGGTGTGAGTTTGTTACAAGGGGGCATGTATAGTTTCTTTGTATGCCGGTAGCCAACCCTCCCATGTTAGTTTGTTAAAAGAAAACACTAAAAGGAATGACAGCTGAAACATTACAGTATTTATCAATCTATAAATTCCCCATTGACTTCCATATTGTTTCTTGAGCAGCTCTGCATGGTCTCCTTCATAGTAATTAATTTTTTGGCAGAAATACTTAGAGCATGAAGCTATGCATAAAAACCACTTTGGTCTTGTATGGTCAGTATGAGGAATGTATGTAAAAAGAAGACTGTATAAAGCAGTTACTTTTTTTTTTGAGACAGTCTCCCTGTAGTCCCAGGTGACCTGAGCAGTTACTTTTTAATTCAATGCTTACAGCTATCCAGAGACATCAGAACTATTTGGGATATTTAATAAACCCATTTTGAGTGCCCAAGTAAAGTACTAGGCAGTAGATTATAAACCAGAGCATGAAAGAGTAAGAGAAAGAGAGAGTATCCTGAGAGACAAAACTCAGATGTACTGTGCAATGCAGTGATGTGCTAGGGTCAGATATACAAGTGCAGCTGATTCAGAGTGAAGCACCACTCAGCACTATGGACTATATGAGTTTTGAGTTTTGAACACTCTGAGGACAGTATGATTACCCAGTCAAAGTTGAGCATGCAGAATAACTGGTCTTCAGTACTCCCAGGTGCTACTAGTAGACAGAACTCCTATTTGTAACCTTTAATCACTGATTTATCTTGAACTTCAGAATACCTATAATAGTTGAGGAGCTATCTGGCCCATAATAAGAAGTGTTACAAAGCCACAGGAGTAGAGAGACTTTGAAACAGTGGCAATGGTACCAGTATTAGAGGTTAGGGCTAGGGAAGGGAATCAAATAATTTCTAATTTAAGTTAATTGTCGTCATAAAAAAATATTCACTAAGTGCCTCCCTTTATACTTGAAAGCTTAATATGTTTTTTGTATGGATGAGGAAGTAAATAGCTTTCCTTATACCTTCATAGGGGCAGTAAGAGTGTTATCAGTCACTTAAATAATTAACCCTCCACAGTCCTGGTTTGTCTGCGGCCCTGTAGATAAGCAAGTGCTCAAAGCCCAAAATGAACTTGGATGAGCCTAAGTAAATAACTCAAAAAGAACTTGGATAAGTCTAAGTAAAAGTATAAGCTTTATGCTCCAAAAGAGTATTCTCTGCCCTACTTTTCTTGGGACAGTTTAGGTAAAAGTGTATGTAAGTGGGTTGACTGTTTAGGTATAATTGTGTGTAAGTGGGTAAGTAACACATTCTGGAAATAGTCAAAGCATTGGTCAAGGTTTTTGTTTGATTTTTAAAACTTCTTGAATTAACTTTTTTTCTTATAGTATTTTTGTGACCCATTAACTATGAACAACAGTGTTCATGCCACAGAATTTTCCTTGCCATGTGAGTTTGGTTACTAATTTAGAGAATTTGTTAGGAATACACAAATACAATGACTAGGGAATTTTAATGAAAAAGCTTTTAAGAAAATTCTAAAATTCAATAACATTAATTTTTTAAGGCTATCTATAATAGTGAGTTTCTGGCCTTCTCCTTCCCTCTCCTCTCCTGGGGACAGTTTCTTTGTTTTCCACGTGGGCCTGGAATTCACCATCTAGCTCAGCTGACCTCAAATTTGTAATCTTCCTACCATAACTTCACAAGTGTTGAGATTACAAAGATGCACCATGATGTCTGGCTAACTTTAGATTTTTCTACAATTAGTGTGTTTAGTAATTTTTAGGTATTGCACAAGTCAAGGGAAAAAAATCATGTTGAATGGGCTTTTTTTTTTTTTTTTTTTTAAATCAAGGAAGAACCAGTGGAACTAACTAGAAAATACTGCCCCAGTTTTTAGGGTGCCAGAAGTTGTAAGCCAAAGAATAAGAAAAGCCTTCTGGTTTGGTTTTTAAAAGTGTATTTATTTTTTATGGCTATGTGTGAGTGCCTGCATGTATGTATGTGTATCATGTGTGTACAGTGCCTGTGGAAGCCAGATGAAGGCATTGGATCCCCTGGAATTGGAGTTACAGGCAGTTGTGAGCTGCCGTGTAGATACTGGTAACCAAGCCTATGTCCTTGGCAGGAGAGGCAGTGCTCTTTAACAACTGAGCCATCTCTCCAGTCCAAGGAAAACCTTTCAAAGAAAGAAAAACAATAACTTAATCTTGTTAGAATTATCACTAGAGTATTTTTTCCTTTCATTTTGTTGTATCATTTTCTTTTTATTTTTTTTTCAATATATATTTTTATTAATTTTTTGTGCATTTCATACATGACATCTTAATCATATTTTGACCCCCTCCCCAGTCTGGGGTGGTGGATGACCACAGAGGAAGCAGTTTTCCAGGCTTCTGGGAACTTGGTCACATATATTTACAGCAGTGGTGACAACATGCACAAGACCCATGCAAACTCAAACCACCACTCAAAAACCCATCATAGACCTGGGGAAATTGGCAAGAAGCTCCAGCCTTAGCTGAGGAACTAATGGTAGCTGATCTCTGCTGGTGAGGGAGAGTTGGTCTTTAAGAGAGTGATGCTAGATAGGCTGAGCAGGCTCCAGTGGATGAACTCACACCAACAGACATCTGGGGACATAAACTTGACTCTGTAGGCCTTGCAGAATGCATGAAATTCAGTGGGAGGCTATGGAAAAGTGTAGAGTGGGGAGGGAGTCTAAATATGATTAGGATGTATTATTCAAGGAGTAACCAAGAAATTAATCTCCTAATTCAAGAATTAACTATAGCGTTTGTTCGTAAATACTTGTATATGGTATAATGTTACCTTGCTTCAATTTTATAAAAATGAAAAAGAAGAAAGACATACATTTGTCATTAGGATGCCTCTTAGTGATCTTGAGCTAGCTCCCTGGCATAGCTTTATTTCCCTGGATAGGAGATTTAGAAAGTGCTTGGGGAATGTGGATTAAAAATGCTTAGTTGTATTGCAGTTTTACATGTTATTCCTAATGGTAATTTTAAGTTTCTGGAGACCATGTCTAGCATTCAGTTTTCTGATTTTTTTCACTGTAAAATATACAGATGGGTCATGTCATTTTTGCAAGGCACTTTTTGTTAACTCATGTTTATTTTCAACTCCTTTCTTTAAGGCAAATAAAAAACTGAAATTGGAAAACGGTGGCTTAGTGAGGGAGAATTTACGGCTGAAGGCTGAAGTTGACAACAGATCACCCCAGAAGTACGTATTTTGCTCACAGAGCATTGTTTTTGACTCTCGGTGTTTTTAGACTACATTGTTCCTGTGGTATATGATTTCCATTTGACTCATCATTTAAATAGAATGTCTTTGCCTCTTTAAGTCAAGTGTAAACCTTAGTTTCAGTTGAGGCTAATCTAGAAGAAAGAACTTCATTCTTAAACCTTTCCTTCTGTTTGTAAGAGTATTATGTTATCTAAGACAAGTGAGCCTTCACTAGGTTTTACATGTAACAGTATTTGTTAGTACTAACAAATACTGAGAATAAAGCAATGCCCTTTGGCTGTTTTCTGAAGTAATCTTGGTAATAGTTAATGTCTGTATAGTGCATTCTCTTTGCAAGGTACAATAGGGTGTAACTGGAGTTCTCTGTTTATAAATGGAGGCATAGAGAGGTTAAATTAATTCATCTAAACCTGCACAGCTAGTAGTAAGTGGTAAAAATAGCATTTGAACTCAGGTAGCACTGTCCAAGACTTTGTGCACTTAACCATTATAACAGAAAGCCAGTCAAAAGTAAAATTTAAGGCACTATCCACTAAATTTTAAGACCAGTGTTTGAAACTGCAATATGCAAATTTATTCCTCCTTTTAATAGATTTTTCGTCCCATCTTAGACAATAAGAGATTATAAGTTTTGACCTGCTTAGCAGTTAAATTTAAAGAAATAATTGGGAGTTAAGAATTGAAGATGGAAAAGAGATGACAGCACTTTTGGAGTCGTCACTCTCCTCCCCCACTACAAGAGAGACACAAAAAGACAGAGAAGACAGTATGATCACTGAGGGGTGGCAGCCTCAGAAGGATGGCATATCAACTCTGCCATTTCTTCCTACCTTACACTTGACTTCATTTTTCTGTTTGAGAAAGGCAAAGCAGGAGTAAGCAAATAATGGAAATATGTGCTACCAGAAATAGCTCTCTGCTTGTCCAGTGTAATGTGGTTTTAGGAAGTGGTAGAAGTGAATCCTGATTACACTGAGGGGATTGCTAACCAGTAGAGGAAAAAATGTATAACTTTTACTTTCAAGTATTCCCTTCTACACACTTCAGCCCCATTTTTCTTTCCCTTCAGATAATGTCCTACTTTGACAAATTAGTGAAATAAGCTGAGGAAGTGTTGCTTTTATGTGGTGGTTTGAATCTGTTATTGGCAGCTTGCCTTGCCAGTCATAGTAATGCTTATCCATTAGCCATTTTCCACAGCATGCTGAATGGAATGAAAGCTATTTTGTTTGTAGCTTTTATTTCTTGAAAAGTTGCCCACCAGATTTCAAATTTAATGCCAGCCACAATGATGTGTGCTTTTAAATATCCATGACTTCTACCAAATAACTGGAAAATCTTACCTGAAGAAATCTGGCCTCTGTCTACTCACAAACAAGCAGCCATGCATCTAAATCCATAGCACTTTAGCATTTACCATTTTTAACTTTCATTCCTTCTCTTCATGGGGAAGGAGCAGTTTCAATTGAAAAGTGATTTGAGCTGACCCCTATTCCAGATCAATTTTCAATGCATTGAGATATTAAATGGATTGCATTTGATTTATGGCCTTGTTTACTTTGCATCAGTAAACCCTAGTGGGATTCAGAGAGAAGCTGATCACAACTGAAAATACCCAGATATTTACTGAGGAGCATTCCTATTTGTATAGAAAAGAATATAAAATTTCAAGAATCTAAAATATTTTATTATTTTTATGTGTATAAGTGTTTCGTCTGCATGTGTGTAAGTGAATCTGTGTCATGCAGTGCCCATGGAGGTCAGAAGAAGGCATCAGATTCCCCTGGAACTGGAGTTAAGGACGTTGTTAGCTGCCATGTGGGTGCTGGGAATCAAACCCAGGTCTGCAAGAACAGTCAGTGCTCTTAACCAGTGAGCCCTGAAATTTCAAGAATTTAAAAGTAAATGCAAATAAACAAAAATCATTCATCCATTTCATTCTCTATTTAAGAAGTGTTTTGATGAATTATTTTTCTCTGGTCTATCTGGTTAAATGTAAAGGAATACTTCTTATTGCTGCACACATGGTCTTAATCTCTGATATTTCCTACAACCTGAGTGGACTGACTATTCTATAAGTTACACAGAAGAATGAGCTTTAAAATTTAAAAACCAAGTGAAAAAAAATTAGAGAGATACATTACTTATCTCAGTTTGCCATAACAAAATACATACATAGCTTGACTTGCGTAATGGATTTATTTTCTCACAGTTCTGGGGTTGAAGGCTCAGAGATTCGTAGGTTGGTTTCTGATATGTGATCTCCTGACTCCCTGAAGGCAGCCTTCTCTTTATGTCTTCACATGGTAAAGAGAGAAGAAATGAAGTGTCCTTCCTCATCCCTTCCTCTAAGAGCACTATCCATATGGTCAGGCCTCATCGTTATGGCTTAATTTAACCTTGCTACCTCGTGAAGATCCTATGTGCAAGTATTGTCATTCTGGAAGAATTTGAGTGGCACATAGTCTGCAGCTGCATGTACTTCTTTTCAAGACACTCAAATATGTAAATTAAGGAGTCTTAAACATTTATATTGGTTTCAACTGAATAGTGTAGTTTTAAATCTTTTTTTTATTTTTTTATTTTTATTTTTTATAAGAAGCATTTTATTACAGCTTTAACATACTCAATAACAATTTCCAGAGCAAAGATACATCTCTTTCAAAAGTGGCTATAAAATTTTTAGGTTCACTGTTGAATTAATACAGTTATACAATATTGAACTCAGTATAAGCCCTATAAGACATAAAATTAAATGAGGTTTTAACCTTATCTCCATTTCATTTTAAAATACACTGTTTCTTACAGAAATAACTCATTGTTTTTGCTAATAACACTTAGATGTTGGCACATGCATCTCTAATCTGTATGTATCTGGTTATTACTAGTCATGGTCGGTTACACTTGGATCTTTGGCGCCTGTGTATGGATATAAAGTCATCAGATAGTTTTCAATGGTAATGTTTATCACCTCTACTACTTAACATGATGTAAATTTTTATGCTTCCTCCTCAAATATAACTCCCTTTTTTAATTTGTTGGGTTTTTTTGTGTGTGTATATTACACAGAACATCCCCCTTCCCAGCAGCCCCCCACTAGAGCCCTTATACTCTGCTTAATTTTTTTTCTTTTTATTTAATACTGTAAAGGGGGCTTTCAACTGTACCAAATGAAGGCTTTCCCCAACCCCTAAAGTAGTTTAGTCTCTCTTGCTGTAATTTCTGTTACCTGCCTTGAATTTTCCCTTCTTAGCGCATATCACAACTACCTGCTCATTATGTTTTACGTAATTACTTCCTGACTTTCTCCTGTTGAACTAATACTACAGTTTATATTTGAAACTGCCTCTACTATGTTCTATAGAACTCTGACTCATCCTCATCCTGGTCCTAGTACATATTGGTAAAGTAAATGAATGAAAGATATAGCATAGCCCCAAAGACTATATCTATCATGATTATTTAAGAAAATGTTTATCTTGTTCTTTGGGGTCTGCTATAGCTATACATGGAGTGGTTTACAAACAGGCATTATTTCTTATAGTTTTGTAGGCTGGGAAGTCCAAGATCAAGGTGAACACCTAGTGCACTCAGGGTTTAATGAAGGCGCACCTCCTGGTTCTTAGATAACTGGCTTTCTGCTGTGTCCTCACATGGCAAAAGAGGATAAGGAACACATTGAGATTCTTCCTTCTCCTATTCATGAGGGCTTTACCCTCATGTGCTAAAGGCTTCCAATGGCTCCTTTCCCAAATATCACTTCCCCAAAGCCAGACCTCCAAATACCACATTGGAGGTACAAGAATGGGTGTGAGTCTTGATGAATCTGTAACTCTTCATTCTGTATGCCTGTCAGGCAGCACCATGGGACAGCACCAAGTTCTGCTGCCAGTTTGAGAAGTAGCCCGGTCCTCTGGGATGTGCAGCAGTGCCTGCATGGCTGAACCGGGAAAACATTTTCCTAGATAGCCTTTTTCTAGCAGAGCACCACTTTCAGCTTTCTATTTTTAAATACATTCAAATGAATTTCAAGTGCTTTTGCATTTTCACCCTGGAATCTTCAGTGGTAGGGGTGTCACCCTCAAAGTGTCTCTTTTAGTGCCCCAGTACTAGGTGTGCTACTCCACTTTAATGACACTCATCTCTTGAACAATTACATTCCTTTGTCTACACCTTTGGTCTGATTCATGCTCCTTTTCTTGCCAAACTGCAAGTTTTTAAATTTTTCAACTCTTTACTCTTGTTTCACAGTATAAACCTGGCTAAAAGCAGTGACTAAGAACCTCCTGTTCTTCCTATATGGGGGGGGGCGGTTATTTTATTTTGAATTTTGCATATATATGTGTGTGTCTCCAGATATGTGCATCTGTGGACTCCCGGAGCTGGAGTAACAGTTCCACCCAAGCAACTACTCTTGTCCTCGGCTGTTGAGTCACTTCAGTCATGTGGCATATAATGTCGAGGTAGAAGAAGAGGGCTTTGCATCTCCTGAGTTGGAGTTACAGATGCTTGTCAGCTGCCCAGCATGGGTGCTGGAAACTGAACTTGAGCCCTGCAGGAGCAGTACATACTTTTAATTTTTTTGTAAATTTTTTATTGAATTTTTGTGTATTTCACACAGAAATACATCTTGGTTAATCTTAATCACCTTTATAACCCCTTCCCCATTGGCATCCTGTAGCCCTCCCTCCTCACTGGAATTCATACATTTGGTCATTTGTGTTAAGGCCTGTCATGTCAAGTTAGTGTTCCCAGGCGCCCCTCTGCAATTTCTTCACTGGGGTCTGTCTAGTCAGCCTATCTTGAGTCCCTCCCTTTAACAAGATCAATGGTTAATGAGATGACTCATTAACCACTGAGTCATCTCACCAGCTCAAGCAGTAACCATTTTACAGCCTAAATGCTATGCTGTTTAGAAGTTTTCTTTGCCACATAATTAGTCAAGTAGTTTTTAAATTTAGACTCACTCAAATTTT